TGTGTACCATGGCGCCAGGCCCATCTCGGGACTCGAGAGTGTAACCAGTGCTGAAGCAATCCGAGCGGCGTGACTGCGGCTGTGGATGCCATATGCCTCAGGAGCCTCTGAAAGTGTTTCAGTGGTACCACCGTCCTGCCTCTGAAGGAACTCAGGTAGTTCAGCACCGACTGGGCACGTTCGTTGGTGAGACGTGCCGTCATACTCACCGAACCTAACTCCATACCAAGAAAAGAGATTCCCTGCACAAGGGAGAGCTTGCTCTCCTCTCGGTTGACATGAAGCCCCAACTGACTGAAGAGCCGAAGCACCAGGTCCCTGTGATCGCACAACTCCTCTCTTGACCGAGCCATGATGAGCCAGTCGTCGAGATAGTTAAGGATCCTAATGCCCACTTCCCATAGTGGGGCAAGGGTACCCGCGGCAACTTTCGTGAAGACACGGGGGGACAAGGAGAGCCCGACCTGGAGGACCTTGTACTGCCATGCGCGACCCTCAAACGCAAACTGCAGGAACAGTCTGTGACGAGGAAGGATCGAGACATGAAAGTACACGTCCTTCAGGTCGATCGCTGTAAACCAATCCTGGGCTTGAACGCATTTGATAACAAGTTTCTGCATCAACATCTTGAACGGGAGCTTGTGAAGAGCCCGATTCAAGACTCGCAGATCCAAGATAAGTCGAAGACCACTGCTTCTCTTGGGTACGATGAAGTAAGGGCTGTAAAACCCCTTCCTCGTCTCAGCTGGAGGGACTGACTCGATTGCATCCTTCGCCAATAGGACAGCGATCTCCTTGTGCAAGACAGAGGCGTCTCGGACTGCCACCGAAGTCTCGAGAACGCCGTTGAACTTGGGAGGTGCCTGGCTAACTGAATTGTGTAGCTGAGTCGAACTGTCAAGTGAGCCAGTGGGACGGGTTGGGCAGCGCAAGCCACGCTCCCAAACTCTGTACGAGTGGCACCAAAGGGACAGTCGACGTACCCGCAGTGGTGCAGCGATGGATAGTTGTGCTGGGTGGCCCAGAAGGCACCGCGTTCTGAGTCATCACAGCAAAAC